CAGGAATATTTTATTAATGTTTTCTTTAATTTGGATTCTTGCCACTCTGCATTGTCTTATTGTTCTGGGCAAGGGTTATATTGAATCTAGAAATAAGATGAAGCTGTAGGGGTAAGCTATGTTAGATACCTCTGGAGAGACAGAATGGGTCAAATTCACCCTGGGTATAACTACACTGACTTAATTTGACTTCAGAGAAGTTCCATAAGGGATAATAATAATAAATTATTCCACAAAGGATAAGAAGTAATAATAAGAAGAACTGTTCAGCACATGAATGAACATGACTTGCTGGGGAGGAATCAAAATAGCTTTGTCAAAGGGAAACCATGCCTCACTAACCTACTACTACTGCCCACCACTCACCAGCAGGGGGAGAAAACTGTGCTCACTTGCTACACCTGGTGGTGGGCATGAGCAACAGCAAGCCTTAGATTCTTGCCATGTATATATGTTAATTACAACAGTTTAAGTTGCCTTGTTTGGACTGCCCTAGTCTTCAAACTAGAGCCAATTTTAATTCAGACTACAGACATCTATGTGTATATAGTAACAGCTGTAGTCTAGATTAAACCTAGAAAAAAAATGTAACGTCTATAAATGGCCACCCTGTTCACTCCCCCTTTCAGCATCTATTCTCTGCCACTGTGTGACCAAGGATACAGGCCAAGATGGATCTATGATATGATCTAGTATATGGGAGTTATATTATTATGATTCATGTGGCCCAGTAAATCTGCACAGCTGATCACTTTAAAAATTCCACCTGGAGCTTTTTATTTAACAACTTCCAGTATAAATTAGCCTTCTATTAAACACTTTTCCTTAGGCAAAGACAATAGTTTGGTTGAGATTATTTCCACTTTAATTCTAATGCTAATTGTCCATATATAACCTCAGTAATATATCCTTGATTCTCTTGTTCAATCAGAATGGACACTTGTAAAAGATTCAAGCCTGTTTTCAGCCTTCTCTTCAAAAAAGAGTTAAAAGAAAATATACTTTTGGGCATCTCTAGTTAATGCCACAATTTTGCTTGGTATAAGGTGTCCTGAACTTCCATAGACCCCCAAAGAGATTTCTGTATGTAAGGTCCCATGCTGACAGGGTGCTGAGTGCTTCTGACTATGCTTTTAGTCCTTAGCTCCTACAGACTTGTGTCTGAGTAAGGATTTTATCTCAGAGAAAAAGTGGGAAAAAAAATTTCAGTGCACATCTGAAGAATTCTCATATTTTTTGGTTCTTGTTCTAGCAAGGTACATACGCAGATGCACCTGTTGAAGTTAAAGGCTGGATACAGCTCTGTTCTATCAGTTGCTTCTGACATGTCCCCCATTTCCTTCCCGTTTAGGTTTCCTTACAGTTTCTTCTTGACCTTCAGCTGCTGACTTTTCCATGGTCCATAGTAGTAGCCACTTACATTAGGATCATATTGTCAAAATTTGCTTTCAACTTCCACATCTTTACATTTAGTCTGTACGTTGTGCCTCTAGTGATGTGATGTGCTTCTTCTCCTTTTGCCATCTGGGCTCCATATTTTGCTTTCTTCCTGTTACACCAATTTGCTTTGCTCACTCCAAAACACTGTGACAGTGGCAGACAGCTGAAAGACATTATGAAGGTGGTATATGCTCATCATTCCTTGTCAACACTAACATCTGCTCTTTTGCCAGTTTCCATGCCCCTCCAGATGTGCCAGGCCATGCTTTTGTAACTCCTGCAGCACTGAATCTTGCATTGATAATGGGAATTTCCCCTCTGTGTCTCAGTAGGCTGCTTCTCACTACAGAGCGTTGAAGCACCTCCAAACAGCAATCTCTTTCCTGCCCTGTTTTTGCCTCCCATCAGAACTCCCACATCGATCTTCTGGCCTTACCTTCACTCACTACTTTTACTCTTCTGCATGCTTCCTTGCCACTTCCCCTTCTGTCTCTGGTTCTCTAAAGCACAAGCTCTCTCAGGCCTACCTTTTACCACTCACAAAACCTCACCTCATCTCTGTAACAGGCTCCATTTTGTCCCTATGAGAAGGAAAGGGAAATGGGGAAGGCCCTTTAAGAGGGACACTGCAGACTGGGAGACCCTGCTTGTAACAGGGTTAAGGGAAGGGCCACAGCAGCAAGGGGCAGAAGTGCTCCAGTAGCAGAGGGGAGCCAAGTAAAGCTCTTGCTGCAGAAGGATGCAGGCTCCATGGGCATTTCTACACGTGACAAAGGGCCCTCGTACATGTGACTAAATTGCCTCTTTTAGTGGTTAAATTTCCCTTTTTAGCAATTTAATAGCATAACAGTGTACATGTGCTGCAGCATATTGAAATTAAATCTTATCACAGTATACACATGCAGCAGCGTATTTCGATTTAACTGCCTTTTTTACATAGCAAAGTAAAACACATCTGATACAATTTAGCTTGCTACATAAACCGCAATGGTGTACCGGGTGCTGGAAGCCCAGGCGTGCTTGGGGAAGCTTGGGCTTAGCAGGCTTCCAGCGTCCTGTATACCATCCCTACCACCTTCTCTGGCCGCCAGCATGCCCAGCTGCCCTTCTGCACTGCCCCAGGGGCAAGCCGCCCAGCCTTATTAAGGTCTATCAATCATTATCATCAAGGCACGGCAGAAGAGGTAGGTGGGCAGTGGTCCCATGTGGCAGGCAGCAGGGACAGTGCTGGAAACCCACCAAACCTGAGCTTCCCTGAGCACGCCCAGGCTTCCAGCACCCCATGCACTGTTGGATCGGGCTGGGTGAGGCCTGTGAGCTGGGGTAGCACTCGCCTGCTAGCATCCTGCCTGGGTGGCTCTGGGGGGGGTGCCACCGCCATGGAGGGAAGCACCAGGATCCCCCACAGCCCAGATGCTGTGTGACCCAGCAGCAGCTCGTGTGGGCAGGCTCCGCCAAGGGGAAAATGAAAAAAAGGGCAAGGGGCCCACTTTTTTCTTTTCTCTTCAGCGGAGCCTTCCTGCATCTCCTGTGTCCAGGGGGTGAGCTGCTGACGGGTCAAGTGACCCGAGGTGTGGCGGCCCCTGGTCCTTCCCTCTGTGGTGGTAGCGCCCTCTGGGTGGTACCTGCCCGCTGGCACCCTGCCCAGGTGATCCCAGGGGGCGTCACCACTGTGGAGGGAAGCACCCGGGGCCCCACAGCTCAGGCACCACTCGGCCTGCCAGCAGCTTACCCCCTGGCTGCAGGAGATGTAGGCAGGCTCTGGGAGGAAATTAAAAGATTAGGCCCTTTGCTGCTTTTTCCTTTTTTTTTTTTCCGCCCTCAATGGAGCCTACCCACATGAGCTGCTGCCAGGTTGTACAGCCCCTGAACTGCAGGGGGGGGCTGGTGCATCCCTCTATTGTGGCAGCACCCCTGGGGCCACCCCAGCAGGGTGCTAGTGAGCAAGTGCCGCCCAGGGGTGCTGCTGAGGGAATGACTGGGTCCCCTGCAGTTCAGGGCCCTCTGGCAACTTGCTGCCGCATGCCCCCCCCCGTGGGAGAGGCAGACAGGCTCCAGGAAAAACATAAAAAGGATCAGGCCTCTGTAACAAGTGGGCGTCCCAGGGCCGGTCTAAACGTAGGCCCACCCACTTGTCTCTGAGCAAACCGCCCGTATCGTCTGCTACGCCTTGATGATAATGATCGATAGATCTTAACAAGGCAGGAGGCTGCCCATTTACTTGCTCTGATGCCAAAGGCTGATACACACAGCTCTGACTACTCCTGTACCGTGTCCCATACCTCGCAGATGGCATCCATGTTCTGCCAGCGTCGCACACTGGGACCCAAGCTCCAGAGTCTCACACAGGACTCTCAGTCTCCACTGGAGATGGTGGTCCCAGTGCCTTCTCACCAGGCTCTCCGTTGTTCTTCACTCAGGGCTCCCAGCACTTAGCCCTTCAGGGCTCCAAGCTCCATCCCAATGTTGGGCTCCAAGCCCCTAACAACTCAGGGCTCCAAGCCCCACTCCCCTGCCCTACTGGGGCACTGGGCCTTATCTCCTGCCCTACGCTGGGCTCACAAACCTTTATCCCCTTGCCCCAGGAGCTTCACTCATAGGCTCAGAGCCCCATCCCCCTGGAGCCTCACACGCAGCTCCTATGTGCAGCCTCAGATCTCACTGCGAGTCTGGGCACTGTCTCTGGCCCCTTCACCTGGCAAGGACCCCACCTCAAAACTTGCAGTGAGTCAGGGACCTTGCTTTGTCCTTTGGGGTGTGCTCCCCTAGCCTTACCCCTCCATGGGGTCACCTGGAAGGCAGCAGGGGTTGAGGCTTTCTGGTGAACCACACTCACCCTTCACTGGGGAGGCCCCAGGTGAAGCATTTCCTGGAGACTACCCTGCCACCAGCAGTCTCACCACACCATCCAGCTGCAGCAGGGTATAGTTTTAGATCATGCCCCAGGACCAGGAGCCTCCAATCATCCCCATAGCTCCTGCTCTTACCTCCAAGGTGTCATGAGCAGCAGCTCCAGCTTGGTGGTGTTCTCCTGGCTGCTGCCAACAGACAGCTGGCTTTGCTGGCCAGGGACCTACTCTTATAGGGAACAGCCAGGCCCTGTTCCCAGTCAGGCAGTTGCACCTAACTGGTGATTGCCACCAGCTGCAGGCTGCCATGCTGCTGCCCGTGCCTCTGTAAGTAACAGAGCACACCCTGTTGGAAGTCCCTAAATTGAAACGGTGGGTTTTTAATAGACACAATTAAAAACCCACTGTTTTAATTTAGGGCGAACTAAACCCCCAGCACATGTACAAGCGCCCCATGAGCAAACACAGTAAAATATCTCATAGGGAAGGAGGGGACATGTTATCTTGGGGTTTAAGTGAGGAGGGGGCAGATATAGTGCTCAGTAGACTGCTTCCAGGCTCCCCAAAAATGCTTTGGCCCCAACGCAGAAAAGCAAGTAACAGTGTTCTTGGGGTTAGCCAGTTAATACATATGTTTTGTGCCAAGATTTTCAGAGATTACAGCCCTGCAATCAGGCTTTTTGAGAACAACAGTGCTTACAAAAGTGGAGTGGATGGCTGCATTTGAACATTTCTTCTGAGGGGTGAAGGAAATACATAGTGAGACAGTAATGAAGGCACCAGACTTCAAAAAGCTATTCATGTTACACAAAAAATACCTCCAACCTGGCCATAGAAAAAAGGAAGCCATCAATCTTATCATAGAAAGAAGGAAACCCTGAGCACCCCGTGGTATACATGAGAAGGCAATATACAATAATGGGAAAGCTTATTCCACAATTGAGAAGGAGTGCTTGGCCATTTAATGGGCTATCAAAATACTACAATATTACCTCTGAGAAGGTCATTTTACAGTAATCACAAACCACACTTCCCTGAAAAGATTGCAGTAAATGAAAACTGACAATTCCAGACTGATACATTGGTACCTAAGTCTACAACCATACCACTTTTTGATAGAATACCAGCCTGGAAAATGGTATGTGAACACAGATATTTTTTTCAAGGAAGAAAGAAGAGGCAGATAGTAGGAAAAATAAACATAGCTCCATCTCCCTCCCAAACAGGAAAAACAGGAGTGGGATATATAACAGAGCCCCCTTTGGTTCCCATAACAAAGAAGTAAGGGAAAAATGGTGGGGGGAGGCCTATAAGAGAGTGGTATATGGGAAGAGTCCCAGTGGTAACATGCAGAAGTGCCCCAGCAGCTTAGCTACTGCATGAGAAGGTCAGCCTCCGGATCCAGATATTATGAGGAGGCCTAGAGAAAGGTCAGAATGGAAAGAAACTGGATTAAGGTGAAGTAGGCTGGAAGGAAGGTTGTGGTAGTGAAAGCTTTTTAGAAGGACCAAAAAGAGCCAAAGGGAAGACCCATGCTGGGAAGGGCGCAGCAGACACCAGGTGGAGTGGAGTGGATTGGAATGAGCCCAAAGAAGATTGATAGCAACCCTAGGGGCAGGCTAGCTGTTAGGAAGCCATGGGAGGCCGCATACAAGAAGACCCAAAAGAGAACCATCTGTGAGAGGTACTACCCACTCTGAGCAAGCCTCCTCTCCCAATGACCTACACACTGAATGAACATCAAGACATGGCAGATGGGTCAAGTAGAGAAGCTGAGAGAGACAAAGAGAGACCTGGTTTGTGAGGGGACCAGAAGGATTATGCCTCACCTAAAAAATGGGGCATCAGTGCACTCTCCGAATCTCCATCTTGTACTTTAGCTCATTTGTCTTTCCTCTGGAGCCCTCTCCTAATCTTGGCACAGCCTTCACAGAAGTCCTCTCCGCTTTTTGCTCTCTTCTGTGCCTTCCTGCTGTAATAAGCCCAGGCCCAGCTGGAGAGGTGTCAGCCACAGGCTCCATCTAGATGGCTGGCTCCCCAGGGTTATAGGTAAGGGCCCAGCACAAACAGACAGACAAGGTTCATTGAGTAAATCTGATATCTTTTATTAGACCAAGACAAATAGTTGGAAAAAATTTCTTTGCAAGCTTTCAGGTATAAATACCCTTTGTCAGGCTGAGGAAGCATCTGCAGTTGGTGTGTGCTCTTCCTGGATGGAATGAATAGTAAAGAAGCCAGAGGCTGATATACATGCAAGAAAGGCAGTCAGTGAAGATGTAAACATAAAACTGACTGGCTTTCTTGCATGCACACCAGCCTCTGGCTTCTTTACTATTCATTCCATCCAGGAAGAGCACATAGCAGCTGAAGATGCTTCCTCAGCCTGATGAAGGTTAGCTGTCAAGATGGAGTATACCTACTTGGCCTGCACTTGCAAGGAGGCAGTCAGAAAGGCCAAAGCAGAAATGGAACTTAGGCTGGCTAGGCTGGAAACAAACATTAAAAACAACAAAAAGTCCTACGGGTATATAGGGAGCAAAAAGAAGGCACGGGGTAGCATAGGACCCCTACAAGACAAACTAGGGCAATTAGTGACAGATAGGGGGAAAAAGCTGAGCTCTTCAATGAGTTTTTTGCCTCTTATTCCTGAACTCAGATCAGGACAAATCTTCCAATTGGATCATAGACAGGCATAAAGGGGAAACCAGCCCACCAACTGTTAGCACCGACTTAGTGAAGAGACACGTGGTGGGGGGGCTGGATGTGTTTAAGTCAGCAGGCCTGGATGATCTTTATCCAAGAGTGCTGAAGGAATTGGCCAGTGTCATAGCAGATCCATTGGCACGGCTGTTTGAGCACTCCTGGAGCTTAGGTCAGGTCCCAGAGAACAGGAAAAGGGCCAATGTTGTCCCTATTTTCAAGAAGGGGAGGAAGGAGGATCCAGGTAACTATAGACCAGTTAGTTTCACCTCTATCCTTGGGAAAACCTTTCAAAAATTATTAAGGATCACATTTGTGGCAGTCCAGCAGGGAAAGCAATGCTAGAGGGCAACCAGCACGGATTCATAGCAGGTAGATCCTGCCCGACTCACCTTGTTTCTTTTTATGACCAGGTCACAAAATGCTTAGACGCAGGAATCGAGGTGGATGCCATCTACTTGGATTTCAAGAAGACCTTTGATATGGTATCTCATTATATTTTCATAGACAAACTGAGTGGCTGAGACATAGATGATTACACAGTCAGGTGGATGGTAAATTGGCTTGGGGTCACACCCAGAGAGTGGTGGTGGATGTGGGCAGTGGAGTCCCACAAGTCTTGGTCCTTGGACCGGTGCTGCTCAATGTCTTCATCAGTGACTTGGATGAGGGTGTGGAAAGCACGCTGTCCCAATTTGCAGATGATACCAAGTTATGGGGTAAAGTTAACACACCAGAGGGTAGGGAACAAATCCAGGTGGATCTGGAGAGGTTGGAAAAGTGGGCAGAACAGAATAGGATGCAATTCAATAAGGACAAATGCAAGGTGCTGCACCTAGGGAGAAGGAATCACCAGCTCACTTACAGGCTGGGGGAGGACCTTCTCAGCAGCACAGCAGTGGAAAGGGATCTTGGAGTCACTGTTGACTCCAAGATGAACATGAGTCGTCAGTATGACAAAGTGATCAGTAAAGCTAACTGCACTTTATCATGCATTAGCAGGTGCTTGACAAACAGGTCCAGGGAGGTGATACTCCCCCTTCATATGGCACTGGTCAGGCGCAGTTGCAGTATTGCATCCAGTTTTGGATGCCACACTTCAAGAGGGATTTGGATAACCTTAAGAGGTTTCAGAGGAGGGCCACTCGTATGGTTAGGGGTCTGCAGGCAAAGCCCTACAAGGAGAGATTGAGGGCCCTGGATCTCTTCAGCCTCCTTAAGAGAAGGCTGAGACGTGATCTTGTGGCTGCCTACAATCGGGCGGGACAGCAAGTAATAGGAGATGCTCTGTTTACCAGAGCACCCCTTGGAGTAACTAGGAACAACAGCCACAAGCTGACAGAGAGCAGATTTAGGTTAAACATCAGGAAGAACTTCTTTACGGTAGTTACCAAACTCTGGAATGGGCTTCCAAGGGAGGTGGTGCTCTCCCCTACCTTGGGGGTCTTTAAGAGGAGGCTAGACATGCACCTGGATGAAGTCCTCTGACCCCAGCGCTCTTTCCTGCCCAGGGCAGGGGGTCAGACTTGATGATCTGCTAAAGTCCCTTCTGATCCAAACATCTGTGAATCTATACCTGGAAGCTTACAAAGAAGAATTTTTCCAACTATTTGAGTTGGTCTAATAAAAGATATCAGATTTACCCAAAGAAACTTGTCTGCTTATGTCCTTAGACCAACGCGGCTACAACCTATGCCCAGCACACACAGGCCTTTATAAGCACACAGCAGGCAGCAGCAAGCTGTGTGGGCAACAAATTGCTGTGCTCTGCTTCTGGCCTCCTTGGAACCATTCACCTACCTCTGGTGTCAGCTCTGCCATGCTGACTTCAGCTTTGGAACTTGGCTTCTGACTTTGGTTTCTTTGACCCTTGTCCCAGCCTCTGGACCCTCCCTAATTAAGCAGGTGACCTAACCTGATTGTCCATGCCCTGGTCCTTTATAACTGCTCACCTCCAAGCTAGTTTAATTTCCCTTCCCTTTTGTTCCAGCTCCCTCCAACCTTTCTCTAATTACCCTTCTCTAAGAAGATCACTTGGATTACACCATTTCCCCCCCTCAATCTTTTCTCCATTTTGATTTCCCCCAGTTACTTGCCTTTCTCATAGTTCCTAACTTTCCCAGTTGTTTTAACCTTCCAGTCTAGTCATCCCCTACCCTTTTTCTCATTTGCCCTCCCATAATGTCTGTTCCTTTGAAATCCACTCCATTATCTCTCCCTAAGTAGATTCTTATCTGCTTTACCTGGACCCCTAGCCTTCTTTTCCCTTCATTTTGATGCCTGCCTATTTGACTTCTCATTCAATGAGCACTATGTGGTCTTTTTCAGTGTCTCCTATTTTCCAATCTCCTACCATTCCTTTTGTGATCTTCAAATCACTAACCTCTTTGCTTTCTCTCCTGGCTTCCTTCTGACTTCCCTCTCCCCTGTTCCTTTTTGCAACACTCTTTTCAGCTATGCTTGGCTGATCCTCTCTGCTTCCTATGTGTGGTTAATCTGTGCTATAATCAACAAGCT